CCTTGTTATACATACTAGAAAAGAACTGTCATTCCTATCCCCAGATCTCTGCCTGAGAGCCCCTTAATTTCAAAATTATAATAATTCAGAGGGAAGGGGTTTACATTTTTCATTCCAAGGGAGGCTCCTGCCTTTCCTAGCAGACACCTGTTTTTCAAATGAAAACACTCTCATCATGACTTATTCTAACCTGTGATGCTCAGAATTTTCTTAACACTCTCCAACACTGGCAGAAAACATTATTCTTAAATTAAATCTTAAAATTACATTATTATTAAATTATTAAATCTTAAATTTACAAAAGGCAGAGTTGGGTCATTTTTCTTCCTGTAAGTAACATGTGCTGACACTGACAAAACAGACTAAAAGCCAACAGTCTATAGAATTCCCTGTTTCAAGACATTAGTGATATCCCCATCTGTGTCAGAACAACTTGGCATGCAGAGCACCACCAGTGTATTTATAACATTTCAGATATGGTATTAAAATAGTCTAGCATGCAAATATGTACTACAACACCCAGTATCATGGTGAATTATATCAATAACTGCCAATATTTATTTGTCAATGGGTACAGAGTAATATTTATGTGTTTAGAAGAGAAAGCCATAATGAATAAACAATATAATTTCTGGAACTGGATTTGGAATTATTACTGGAACTACAACTCATGAAAATTGGAACAGGACTTGAAATGCTTCCAGCAAGCCAAGTCCCATTTCCATGCCTCATCCAAAAGCCCCAGTGTATGTCCTAAACCAGTGCTACCTCTTCCAAAACACATCCTGTACATCTGCTGCACAATACTTCTTTTCACTGAGACACACAGTTACTGATTTACAGTGACATCAAAGAGCCCCTTGTCACAGCTTGGGCAGTGGTCTGGGTGCCACCACTTTCCCAGGGAAGCATCCGTAGAAGGACACTCTCAGGCACACAAGCACTCCTTGCCCTGCAGAGAGGCCTCATGTGGTGTTCAACAAGAAGCCTTTATTCTCAGTTCAGGGACAAGGAAAACCCCAGCTACTGTGAAGGGTGTCACCCTGAAAATGAGACTTTTCGATATTGTTTTCATAATTTCTAGCCACTTTCCCAGGAAAATAACTATAAACATAGGTGTTTATACATTCCATTAAAGAGATGCCTTTTGATGGATGTTTCTCACAGCCAGTGTGGTTGGGAAGGTGGTAACCTGACTATCCAATCCCTACTCATTGTCGAAAACTTATAAATATTGAAAGAACAAATAAATTTCTCTTCCTTTTCAACACACTTTGAGCTGTGTCCATGTGAATCATTTCGTGTCTGACAGAGACAGAAGGGTTCAGGGATGAAAGACCATAGACAGTCACAGGGAAACAGGGGTTTGTATAGGAGCAGCAGACTAGTCAATTGAGGGTTCAGGGGCAGAGAAAAGGGGAAGGACCAATGGGTTACATAGAATGTGCATGAGGTACATAACATTTAATAAAGAAGGAACTCATCTAGGAGCTTTCACTCCAAGAGAGTGGTGGATTCTTTGTTAATCAGCCCATGGACCTACACAGCCTCTCGTCTCAATTCTGCTCCATTCTGCTGCTCAGGGAGCAGGGAACAAGGAACAGAGCAGTGCACAGTCAGCTGCACACACAGCAGCAAAGGGATTTATTTTCAGGTTTCCAGAAAACATTGTGATTCTGGTGTCCTTTCTCATTTAAGGCTGCCTTCACTGGGGAGAACACTGAAAAAGAAAGCTGAGCAAGGAGTGTGTAGATTGGCAGTAGTTCATCAGGGACAAGCTGCCTGCACCCCTAGGAGCAGGGCTCCTGTGGGAGCTTGGTATGCTGCTCTGGGAGGAGGGAACAAAGCAGGGAGCAGTAGAGAGTGAGTTGCTCTTGCCCTGCTGAAATCAATGCAGATATGAAAAAAAGGATGGAGCAGCACAAAGGTGCTGTGGTCTTGCTCTGGCAGGAACAATGCAGGTAACAGGAACTAAGCCAAAGGAATGACCCAAACCATGACACAGCTTTGTGTCAATAACCCCCATATAAGCTCATGACTAAAATTAAACTCCACATAAACAGGAAATTATGTCAGCCATAATTTCACCTTCTCCCATCACTCACTGAAAATCATATAAATACAGCTTCCCTTTGGGAAGGGAGGTCAGAGGAGACTCCATCTCTATATCCTGGCATTGTCAGAGGGCTCTACCTGTCTCCTTCCCTCAGGGACACTACTGGGTAAGACTCCAGTGCTCAGCTGTACCAGGTGCTTGCTCAGGAAATTCAGAAAACCAGCCTGTTTGTGATCATACTCTTCTACATTAGCTACATTAGAGATACTACATTAGCATCTCTCAACTGAACGTGTTTGTGGCTGGCTGTATTGTTCATATTTCATGTGTTCACACACACTTCTGCACACAGGGTAATCACCACTACCACAGAACCACAGAGTGGGCTGGGTTGGAACTCCAAATTCCAGTGCCACACCAGCTCTGTATGTCTGCTGCTGAATTTACCACAGCTCAGAATCTAAGCCCAGCTGTCCCAGTCCCTCTGATACCTGAGGAGCAGCTGAAATGCCAAAGAGGTGATTTTCTGCCAAATTTAATGCAATATATATAGTGGGTTTACTCTTAATGTGATACTTTCATTATAAGTTTTAACTGGGAGTTTACAAAATAGTCCCTACAGTTTACTTTGGGGATCATAGTGATATCATTAACCAGCATTTATATCACTGAATCAGGATTTGATTTGAAACTATTTTCATGTGGCATTAGATACCTGAGAGTTTATCAGTTTTATCACAGAAGATTAGGCTACGAAATCATTATCCAAAATGAGCAAGCAAGTCACCATTTAGTAAAATTAAAGTATATTACACAGGTACAATGTTTCAATTGCACATTCTCACTACTTTTACAGGTTATACTGATGTTTTGTGGGAAAGCAAAATTAAGTTGCAAAACATTAGACAATTTTACATCATAGGTAAGTTCATTTAAGATTAATCAACATCCAGAAAAATAATACAAAGATGCATCATACATGAACATGCATTCCATTTTTTACAGATAAATGTGTGCAAAACCAAATAAGTACAAGAGTGCATTTCCTTGCAGTATTTTTTAAAACATAGGGCTGAGCACTGAACAGGGACCCACAGCACAATTTACCTTCTCAACTAAGAGGCAGTAGAAAAGTTTCTACTGAAATACTTGCGCAGACCTCAGAAGGGATGCTCAGAGGATATTCCACAGGAGTGCTCTGCCAAGGGCATGTATTTGATCAGGCTCCACAGCAAGGTATGTGAGGATGAAATAAGAGAGTATTGTTTTACAGCTTTTACTGGGCAGACTGAGGAAATTAAAAAACCCAACACCTTCACATAAAGTAAAACGTCCACTTATATTTTTTTTTCCCCAGAGGCCACTAAAAACATTCTACACATTACACGATTAGCCAACTCCACTAACACAACTTCCCAGGTACCAGGAGGAGTTCTTCATTCCCCACACGTTATTTACTCATTTCCCAAAGCTCCGGTTTCATAGGTCAGTTTCTGACTGAAGAACTGCAAGGCAGGAAAGAAACGTAAGAACAGGCAACAGAAACGGGGACGGAGAATATTTAAAGAAAGTTTTACACTGGACAAAGCAAAGGTATCGCCGAAACCCCCGCATCTGGAAGTCGGCCGGGCAGGAGGCCAAATCTCCCCATTTCCCCCGCACCAGGAGGCCCTCCACGACTCCGGGGGCCTCCGGGAAATCCAGCCCCTCTCAAAGCTTCTCCTGATCCCGTCCCGGGAAAGCTGCCCCATCCCCTGCTGCCGCTGTGCCGCCGCCGCTCCCGGCGCACCGGCAGCGCAGCGGACAGCCCCGGGAGGTGGTCCAGGGGCCTGCGAGGACAGGGATCGGACCGCCGTGAGGACTGAGGGGAGCACCGCCCCTTCCTGCTGGAGTTATGGCCCTGCGGGGGGCGCTGCGCTGGGTGACTGCGGCTTGTGGGGGCCGGTGAGTGCGGGCCGGGGCCCTGGACCGGCGCCACTGGGCCGGCGCCGGACCGGGACAGGGATCGGAACTGGGAATGGGACTGGGACAGATATAAGGATCGGGATCGGGATACGGATAGAGACAGAAATAGGGATCAGAACCGGGACAAGTACACAGTCTGGAACAGGGACTGGATCGGGACTGGGTTTGCCACAGGGATAAGGGACTGGGGTCGGTATCGGGACAGAAACCGGGACCGGGACTGGGATTAGAGTCGGGACAGGGACTGGGACCAGGATCGGGACAGGACCGGGACAAGGAGAGGGTCCAGAACAGGGATCGGGACCGGGACCACGACTGGGATTAGGGTCGGGACCGGGACGGAGAAAAGAACAGAGATCGGGATCGGGAGAGCGACAGGGTTCGGGATCAGGATAAGGATCCGGGAGAGGGGCGGGATGCCGGGGCCTCCGGCAGGGCAGGGAGCGCGGTGGCTGCTGCCGCAGCCGGGCGGTGTCGCGGGTGTTGTGTGCGTGTGTGTGTGTGCGAGTGCGTGCGAGAGTGTGTGTGCGAGTGTGTGTGTGTGCGAGTGTGTGTGTGCGAGTGTGTGCGAGTGCGTGCGTGTGCGTGTGTGTGCGCGAGTGTGTGTGTGTGCGAGTGTGTGTGTGCGA